GGAGGGGGCCATTGGAGGGCACACTGTTGTCAACATATCCCTCTCCCAATGGTAACTTTCTCTACTTTGCTTAACATAGAACGTGCTACTACTAGTTCATCTGGTTGAGGGGAAGACCACAACACGCCTGTGCAGACAGCGGATGAGTGCACCTGGTCCCACGGGTCTCTGAGCTGATTGTCTTCTTCATCAGCTGCAGGACCTCATCTTTTTTTCATTTTACTGAGCTTCTTATAAAGACCTTGAAGAGCGATGGAGGTTAATGATGTCATGTTAGAGTCACCAGATTTTCACAAATGAGACAAACGAGACTAAAACTGACAAAACTACATAAAAGAAATAGAAAATTAAAAATGATAAAAGGAGAAAGTTTTATTTTTGGGGGGTGGGGGGGTGGGGGGGGGCAGAACAGTGTCTAGCTGAGGTCTCAGGACAAATCAAGTCCACATCATAAGATGCGGACTTGAGAATCAGTGCTGGAAACATTGAGCTTCAGCAGCAGCAGAAAGGCTGGACTCAGTTTCAAATGCAGAAAATTCAATTTTCTATTCAGTTTATTTATAAAACGCCAAATCAGGACCCGGGTCGTCTCAAGGCTCTTCACCAAGTAAACGTTCCTACAGGTCAGTTCATTAAGCCAATCAGCAAACGGTTAAGGGAGGGTGTCTGAGGAGTGTTTATTTACCCTCCCATAGACATGACCAGATGTTAGGAACAGCAGCACGGACGTGTCTAACGTCTGAGAATAAACACACATGCTTGTTCTCATGGTGCAGAAACAGACGAGCTGGGAAGTTTTCTCCTTCTCTGCTGCTAAATAAACACGTCCATCATCTTGAAGCCAGCAGGCCGAGTCAGCAAGAGGAAAAGCACCACCAGAGGAGCCAAGAACTGCTCCCACAGGCACACCAACTCCTACTGTGGACTTCACAGGACAGGTCAACCAGCTAACCTACCAGCCAGCCGGATTACTAACTAGTCAGCCATGTTACCACCTAACCAGCCAGCATCCTTTAACCCAGCAGGTCCGCTGCTGGAGACGAAGACGTACCAACAGGTCCTACCAGGGCATCAGATTCAGATAACAAGAATTTGTTTGGGTCAGGCTGAGAAAATTTTCCTCTCTGCCTTCAGTCTTTAAACTGATCATTTCCAGTCCTTCAGTGAAGCCAATTTTGGGTTTTAAACTTGTCCATACCATCCGGTGACTCTCCGAGATGACATCCATTTTGCGCACTAATACCGGTATTGCAGCTAGAACATTGTCCAGCTTACAATTCACCTCAAGTAACGTCCCAGTCTGAGAAGTCTCCACACGGATGATGCTTTCCGTGGGTGCGGGTCGCCCTCCACTTGCTCCCGTCCACCCAAATTTCCAGAAAACCAGATATCCTCCCACTCCAATCAGGAGAAATCCAGTGATCATCAGACCAAATATCCACACGTCTTCGATGTCCCCAATGGACAGCTGGTTGAGACATATGATCTTCCACTCCTTCCAGGAATCCAGCATATATCCCACCGGGTGTGTCCCCTGTGGGCATGTGGGAGCCTCCTGCTCTGTTCTCATTGTTGAAAAAATCTTATCGATCACTTTGAATGACCATTTTTTCAAATCCGTGGTTAGTAAAAATAGAGTTTTTCAGAAGAAATGCAGAGAAGAGCTCTGTGGGCAGACAGGACAAAGAGCCTTGGGAAAAAAGATAAGGGAGCGAAAGAGGGAAGCGTCTGTACTCCTTGAGTGCCAGAAGAAAACTCTCCAGTAACCTTCATGTATTCATCTTCTTATCTCATACTGTACCAACGTTTTATTTATTTACTTACCTCTAGTTTTATATATTTCAAATGTGATTGTTCTGACTCTGCTGTGTTCTGTTGTCATGATGGTCTTTAGATTTGAACAATGTTTTATGCTTTTGCACATGGACAGCTCATTGACTTGTGGGGCCTCATTTATCAAGCTTGCTTACGCACAAAACGGGGTCAGAAAACTGCGTAAGCAACTTTCCACGCAAACTTTGGGATTTATGAAAGAAAACTTAGCGGAAAAGTGTGCGCAACTTTGAGTTGACTAAGGACCTTGCTTACGCACATTTTGGACATGGAGATCACCTGCTGTGTAGCTGCTGAGAAGTTTCGATGAAATTGCGCTTTCTTGATCTGTGGTTGCCAAAGCATGCCATCTCATCCCTTTAAAGTCTCTCCCATCTTCTACAGTTACTGCTCAACTCCTCATCAAACATGTTTTTCGCCCGCATGGTATCCCGGAGGAGATTCTATCTGATCGTGGGCCCCAATTCATCTTGAGGGTTTGGAAGGAGTTTGCTGAGGCTCTAGGGCTCGGGTAGCTCTCACATCCGGATACCATCTGCAGACCAACAGACAGCGTGAGCGGATGAACCAGGAACTCGGAGCCATGCTGCGCTGTGTTTGTTCCACTCACCCGTCATCCTGGAGTTCCCACCTCGCCTGGGTCGAATATGCCCATAACAGTCACGTCTCCACAGCAACAGGTCAGTCCCCTTTCAAGTCCTCCTTGGGTTATCAACCTTCCCTGTTTCCCCTACAGTCGTCAGCTCCCTCCACGGTTCTACAGTTCCTCTGAGGTGCCAAACGTGCTTGGGCCTCCACCCGGGCAGCGCTGGACAGGACAGCTTGTAGGAACAAGCAGCTGGCTGATCGCCGGCGGCGTCCGGCTCCAGGTTACGCCCCCGGTCAGTGGGTCTGGCTCTCCTCTAAAGACATTCCGCTTAAGGCGACCACCCGCAAGCTGACACCCAGATTCATTGGCCTGTTCCGGATTTTGGATGTCCCCACTCCCTCCACGGTTAGGTTGGACC